AACAAGCAAAACAAATAGTATGAACAATGAAACTTTAATTAAATTGAAAACAAATATGAATAAGACAATTCTTTGGCTATGTACAGTACAAACAAACAAGATTATAAAGTCAAAAAATAACATAAAATAAAATAGTGGTGACGTTACTCTAAAATGGATAGATAAAAATGAAATTAACAGGTGCTGAGAATGAAGTGCTGGCTATGAACATCCACTAATAGACAGAGCGTATATCAGATAGTTGTGTCAGCTTTGAGAGCACAGGATATTCTAAATTTAATAGCTGGTGCAGGCTCCGTCATCGGCTATGTAGATGGCGCTGAAGTGCAGAGGTGCAGATGTCAATTCACCAATCAGAAGCGGGCTGGCTGGAAGTGGTGGTTTGGTGATCGACGAAGGGGGGAGGTGGAGATCGAGTGTCGGATACGTATGCGCCTGGCAAAACGTGTTTTACTCAATATGTACTACACTTGCTTGTAGTATCTAGATGTTGTAGATGTACTGAAGTAACATGACGATAGGAAAGAGCAGGCCAAATCTCTCTTGGAGATTATCGTAACACACCCAATTAAACCTAACCCAACCCCAATCTAACCTAACCAGGCAAAGCCAAATGCTACTAAACCCCAGCCAAAATGTTGTGTTTTATACACGGTGTGCCTAAAGTGTGTGTCATCACTATGATGTCATTTTTACATCTCATCTTTGCTCAAGTTTTAAGAGTTCACAACCGGTGCCTCGCCAAATGGTGGTACAACCTTGGTTACAATTTGACGGGGAATCTGCATTCAGGTTAGGCCTCTTTTGCCGCCCTCTATGGGTTTAAGACAGGTGGAAACTGTAACAACAGCTTGTCCCAAGTCTCTTTGTTCTTCAGGAATACTCCATGAAATTGTTCATCTTTATTGTTAAAGAATTGTCATTTAAAGGAAATCACTTCAATAATTTGCTGTGTTTCATTGAAGCAGCATTCTACAATAGCCTCATACTTCTGCTGCTACTACTGTCCTGTGCAATAGTTACTGCACAGGACTTCATCTAATAAAGTCACGTAGTACGAGATCTGTACAATACCACCATTACTCCTACCACTCAATTCATCTTTAAGTTACATACAGTTAGCGTGAAGGTTAGTCCCCTAGGACTACGACCCCCGAGCGCTGTTCACTCAGCCGCGAGGCCCTGCAGCGGTGGGTGTGTGTGTGTGTGTGTGTGTGTGTGTGTGTGTGTGTGTGTGTGTGTGTGTGTGTGTGTGTGTGTGTGTATGTCTGTGTGTGTGTGTGTCTGTGTGTACTCACCTAGCTGTACTTGCGGGGATTGAGCTCAGGGACCAGATTCACGAAGCAGTTAGTACTTACAAACGTGTACATCATTCCTCAATCTTTGACGGCTTTGGATAAATTAATTAAACAGTTTACAAGCATGTAAACTTCCCAGTCAACAGTTGTTATTGATATAAACATCCTCCTGGTGCTTCGGAGCTCATTAACTGTTTAATTACTGTAAACAAAGCCGCCAAAGATTGAGAAAAGATGTACAGGTTTGACCAGACCACACACTAGAAGGTGAAAGGACGACGACGTTTCGGTCCGTCCTGGACCATTCTCAAGACGATTGTGACAATCGACCTGAGAAACGTCGTCGTCCTTTCACCGTCTAGTGTGTGGTCTGGTCAACATACTTTAGCCACGTTATAGTGACTCATCGCCTACATGTACAGGTTTGTAAGTACTTGCGTAACTGCTTCGTGAATCTGGCCCCTGGTTCTTTGGTCATTATGTATGTGTGTAAATTGGTAATGGGAGGTTTCAAGCTCCTCTTATATGTGTTTAATGTTGAAGAGCACTTTAACCCTTAGACCGCGGTTATGGTCATACCCCGCCTATGCCAATACAAAAAAAAAATAAAAAATATATTATTCTTTATTGTAGAATTATTAATTTGCTTGCAAAATGTAAGAAAAACACGAAAAAAGTGAATATATACGGTGTGACTGTGCGGACTACCTGCTGGAAGATGGGTTGGTTACCCTGATGTCTGCAGCTGTGGCACCAAGAGTTACTTCCTCTCTTCTCAACTTGGCAATGTATGTTATTTTCATTTATGTCCAGTATTTATGTGGCTAATTTATTGTGTGTAAGCCATATTCTGATCAGTGTTATAGCTAGTTATCTAAGCCATAGTCTGGTCAGTGTCATAGCTAGGTATCTAAGCCATAGTCTGGTCAGTGTTATAGCTAGTTATCTAAGCCATAGTCTGGTCAGTGTCATAGCTAGTTATCTAAGCCATAGTCTGGTCAGTGTTATAGCTAGGTATCTAAGCCATGTCTGGTCAGTGTTATAGCTAGTTATCTAAGCCATAGTCTGGTCAGTGTCATAGCTAGGTATCTAAGCCATAGTCTGGCCAGTGTTATAGCTAGTTATCTAAGCCATAGTCTGGTCAGTGTTATAGCTAGTTATCTAAGCCATAGTCTGGTCAGTGTTATAGCTAGTTATCGAAGCCATAGTCTGGTCAGTGTTATAGCTAGTTATCTAAGCCATAGTCTGGTCAGTGTTATAGCTAGTTATCTAAGCCATAGTCTGGTCAGTGTTATAGCTAGTTATCTAAGCCATAGTCTGGTCAGTGTTATAGCTAGTTATCTAAGCCATAGTCTGGTCAGTGTTATAGCTAGTTATCTGAGTTTGTTCCCAACTTTCCTATCATTTTCATGGTTCCAGAGTATGTTTGGAGTTATGTTTTTTCCCATTTTGCTGTGAAGGATTGACTGATACAGTAATTGACTTTAGAGCCTGTTTCAGTACTATAGGGAATTACTTGGTTGATGTACTCACCTAGTTGTGCTTGCGGAGGTGGAGCTTCGCTTCTTTGGTCCCGCCTCTCAACTGTCAATCAACTGGTGTACAGATTCCTGAGCCTACTGGGCTCTATCATATCTATATTTGAAACTGTGTATGGAGTCAGCCTCCACCACATCACTGCCTAATGCATTCCACCTGTTAAGTACTCTGACACGGAAAAAATATTTCTAACGTCTCTGTGGCTCTTTTGTTTACTAAGTTTCCACCTGTGTCCCCTTGTTCGTGTTCCACCCGTGTTAAATGGTTTGTCTTTGTCCGTATTAAAGAGTGTGGAGAACAAACAGCCTGATGTGTATTGTGACATGTGTTGCTTTAACTAATTTGCCGACAAGTTCACTGCGGAGTATTCAACAGTGTAGTGACACCCACTATATGGATATGTTGTGTTCCTGTGAGAGGTCATCACGTGCAGCTGCAGGCAGAGGTAGTCGTGCGCTTGTGAGTTACAGCGATGTGATAACTTGGCTTCAACTTTCGAGTCACAGTAGATTATGTACTGCCCCGAGGGTAATGTGGCTACTAATGTGAGGTTAATAGAGGACATACAGTTCCGTCATGGTTATTGGTGGATGGGTAGTTGTCACCCCCTGCTTGAGGTGGCAGTGTGGGGGGTCAGAGTGTCCTGGGTGCCACAGTCCTGACTGCATGTTGTTGTTGTCTGGGGTGAAAGTCTGTAATTCTTGGGCGGGAAGATAATGACTGTAGTTGATGCCGAGTTATAGCATATTATTTTCTAGATCTATTGATACTTTTGGAGCAGTGTAGCATAGGAAAAATAAAATTGGTGGCAGGAATGATTGGGTTTCACGGTTCTGGAAGTTAGATCTGTACTGAAGCTTAGTGTTGGCTGTATTAGGAGTTCAGAATGAGGTAACCTTGGGTTGTTTGGGTAATTGTTCGGGCACTTTTAGATCAGTCTGGCTGTGCTGTTAAGTGAACAGGTGGTTGGCACCCCTTTATCCTGGTGGCTGAGCTGTGACGACTACTCCTTACTGGAGACTTAAGCACAGCAAATGACACAGTACCTAACTATTTTTCCCCGTGGCATTGAGTTATGACCTCTAGGCTCTGGGTGCTTATGCCTGGCACCAACAGTTTAGTTGAGTTTGGGTGTAGATTATATAGAACATGGACTAGTCAGTAGAGCGACGACCTCGCCTCTTGCAGGACCGGCGTCCGATCACTCTTCCCGCCCAAGTGCTAGGGAACCGCTCCTTCACTCTCAACCTCATAGCCCAGCTCAATCTGTCCTTTATTTTCATGTGTAGTGTCCTCACACAGGCACCAGGTGCCACAGAGTGCCAGATGAGTCACATGTTTCACACAGGCACCAGGTGCCACAGAGTGCCAGATGAGTCACATGTTTCACACAGGCACCAGGTGCCACAGAGTGCCAGATGAGTCACATGTTTCACACAGGCACCAGGTGCCACAGAGTGCCAGACGAGTCACATGTTTCACACAGGCACCAGGTGCCACAGAGTGCCAGACGAGTCACATGTTTCACTTAGCGTAAGAATAGTGGGCAAATGGAATGAACTAAAGGAACAGGTTGTATAAGCCAACTCCAATCATAATTTTAACAGTAGATATGATAGGGAAATAGATCAGAGGATCACTGCTTTTGACAACCGGCGGATAGAAAGGTGGAGTCCAAGAGCTAATGCTCGATCCTGCACACACAAATACGCGAGTTCAAATAGGCCAGTATACACACACACACACACACACACACACCACACACACACACACACACACACACACCACACACACACACACACACACACACACACACACACACACACACACACACACACACACACACACATACACAGATGGGTGTCCTATCCCCTCCCGGGGGGCAGGAGACGCCCCCTCCCCCCCCCCCAGCAGAGGGATAACTGCCGGGGAGGGAAATGCTCGATTTCCCTCCCCCGGCATCTCCAGAAAAACTGTATCGAATTCTACACCCCTTCCCCCCCCCCCCCCCCCCCCCCCATCACCCTTCCCATCAGCCCTCACTCCTGCGTCTCCAGCCAGTCAACTTACTTGATCCACACGTTCCAAACCAGTCAGCTTACGTCTTCCAGAGGATTCCAGACAGTCACTTTACGTCATACAGTGTTTCCAATCAGCAAGCCCATGTCTTCCAGGGAGTTTGCAGCCAGTCAGCCCATGTCTTCCAGGGAGTTTGCAGCTAGTCAGCCCATGTCTTCCAGGGAGTTTGCAGCCAGTCAGCCCATGTCTTCCAGGGAGTTTGCAGCCAGTCAGCCCATGTCTTCCAGGGAGTTTGCAGCCAGTCAGCCCATGTCTTCCAGGGAGTTTGCAGCCAGTCAGTCCATGTCTTCCAGGGAGTTTGCAGCCTGTCAGTCCATGTCTTCCAGAGAGTTTGCAGCCAGTCAGTCCATGTCTTCCAGGGAGTTTGCAGCCAGTCAGTCCATGTCTTCCAGGGAGTTTGCAGCCAGTCAGTCCATGTCTTCCAGGGAGTTTGCAGCCAGTCAGTCCATGTCTTCCAGGGAGTTTGCAGCCAGTCAGTCCATGTCTTCCAGGGAGTTTGCAGCCAGTCAGTCCATGTCTTCCAGGGAGTTTGCAGCCAGTCAGTCCATGTCTTCCAGGGAGTTTGCAGCCAGTCAGTCCATGTCTTCCAGGGAGTTTGCAGCCAGTCAGTCCATGTCTTCCAGGGAGTTTGCAGCCAGTCAGTCCATGTCTTCCAGGGAGTTTGCAGCCAGTCAGTCCATGTCTTCCAGGGAGTTTGCAGCCTGTCAGTCCATGTCTTCCAGAGAGTTTGCAACCAGTCAGTCCATGTCTTCCAGGGAGTTTGCAGCCAGTCAGTCCATGTCTTCCAGGGAGTTTGCAGCCAGTCAGTCCATGTCTTCCAGGGAGTTTGCAGCCAGTCAGTCCATGTCTTCCAGGGAGTTTGCAGCCAGTCAGTCCATGTCTTCCAGGGAGTTTGCAGCCAGTCAGTCCATGTCTTCCAGGGAGTTTGCAGCCAGTCAGTCCATGTCTTCCAGGGAGTTTGCAGCCAGTCAGTCCATGTCTTCCAGGGAGTTTGCAGCCAATCAGTCCATGTCTTCCAGGGAGTTTGCAGCCAGTCAGTCCATGTCTTCCAGGGAGTTTGCAGCCAGTCAGTCCATGTCTTCCAGGGAGTTTGCAGCCAGTCAGTCCATGTCTTCCAGGGAGTTTGCAGCCAGTCAGTCCATGTCTTCCAGGGAGTTTGCAGCCAGTCAGTCCATGTCTTCCAGGGAGTTTGCAGCCAGTCAGTCCATGTCTTCCAGGGAGTTTGCAGCCAGTCAGTCCATGTCTTCCAGGGATTTGCAGCCAGTCAGTCATCTTCTGGTACTCTGGTACTCTCTGTACCAGTATGTTTGGTTGTGGTATAATTTGTGTCTGGTTATATCCCAGTCTGCGTGAACTTGTGTCAGAATCTGTGTCTGTCATAATCTGTATACAGATTTGTGCAATTTTCTGTGCATAGTCTGTACAGAAATAGTGATATACTGTAAAGAGACCTGTACATATTTCCAGTAGTATGAAAATGGACGCTAGAGTTTAATCCAGCTAAATACAATGTTATGATGATTGAAACAGGAGTCCCAGACCAATACATCGGTGAAGGATGAATGGAAGACAGATTCTTCAATCAGAACAGGATAAGGACCTGAGTGGACATGACCCCAAATCTGATGCCAGACGCCCACGTCAGCACACAACAGCTGCATATGATGGCATACTGGCCAACATCCGTGTATCCTTCACAGACTGTGCAAAAAAGTTTCCCGGGCCCTATATACAACAAACGTGAGACACACACTTGAATATGCATCCCCAGCATAGAACCCTTACCAGAAAAAGGACAAGGGGAAACTAGAAAAGGTTTTTTACCAAATACCAGCAAAGTTGTTGTTGTAACGTCAGCGCTCAGAGTTCTTTGGTCACAGATTCCAGTCTTATCTTGAGTTATCTTGAGATGATTTCGGGGCTTTAGTGTCCCCGCGGCCCGGTCTTTGACCAGGCCTCCACCCCCAGGAAGCAGCCCGTGACAGCTGACTAACACCCAGGTACCTATTTTACTGCTAGGTAACAGGAGCATAGGGTGAAAGAAACTTTGCCCATTGTTTCTCGCCAGCGCCTGGGATCGAACCCAAGACCACAGGATCACATGTCCAGTTTGCTGTCCGCTCGGCCGACCGGCTCCCTCACAGTCACCTCAAAGCACCACTTTATTTTGTGACCAAATCTAGTGAGGGCTCTTAATATGATGATTCAGGAAGCAATAATCTTTCTTACTTAATTGCTAAGCAACAATTAGGTGAATTGTCTACTTAAGCATAATAAAATGGTAAAAAAGATTTTTACCTTTTCGAAAGATTTGCAACGAGACTCGTTCCTGAGCTGAAGGGATTGGGCTATGAGGAGAGACTAGATGAACTGGCGCTTCCCACACTGGAGGAAAGGAGAGACCGCCGGAGACACGATAACTGGCGCTTCCCACACTGGAGGAAAGGAGAGACCGCCGGAGACACGATAACTGGCGCTTCCCACACTGGAGGAAAGGAGAGACCGCCGGAGACACGATAACGACATATAAGAATCTAAAGGAAATTTATAAAATAGACAAAGTAGCATTGCACAAAACTTGGAACAACAGAACACGGGGCCACGATGGTAACTTGGAACAACAGAACACGGGGCCACGATGGTAACTTGGAACAACAGAACACGGGGCCACGATGGTAACTTGGAACAACAGAACACGGGGCCACGATGGTAACTTGGAACAACAGAACACGGGGCCACGATGGTAACTTGACAATACTTGGAACAAGAGAACACGGGGCCACGATGGTAACTTGACAATAATGTGACACAGAAATGTCAGAAAGAACATTTTAGTGTTAGAGTTGTCACTAAGTGAAGCAGGTTTAGACGGAAAAGTTGTTCACTTAATTCGATTACATTTGTTATTGTAAATATGATACAAGCATGAGAAGTGATCAATCGCATTACTCTAAAAACGTTCGGAGGGCGAGGCTAGGCGTCTAGATTGATCTTGCAAGCACATCTAGATGAGTACATCTAGGTGAGTGAACGTGTACACACACACACACACACACACACACACACACACACACACACACACACACACACACACACACACACACACACACACACACACTGGAAGAGGTGCAAGGGCATGCCGCAAAATGGCCTCCGGAACTGGAAAACAAGGGTTACGAGGATAGACCAGAGGCGGTAAACATAGAAGAAACATTAAACATTAAAGATAGAAGAGAAAAGAGGGGGATATGATCACCACTTAAACAATACTAACAGGAATAGACCAAATTGACAAAGAGGAATTCCTGAAATCAGAAATTTAACGAAGAGGACATAGATTCAAGCTAAGAAACAAAGATGCTGAAAAAATGTTAGAAAGTTTTCTTTTGCAAACAGAGTGGTAGACGGTTGGAACAAGTGAGAAGGTGGCGGAGGCCAAAACCGTCAGTAGTTTCAAAGCCAACCACTTGGGCTGGACGGTAGAGCGTCGGTCTCGCTTCATGCAGGTCGGAGTTCAATCCCTGACCGTCCAAGTGGCTGGCCACCATTCCTTCCCCCCCGTCCCATCCCAAATCCTTATCCTGACCCCTTCCCAGTGCTATATAGTCTAATGGCTTTGCGCTTTTTCCTGCTAGTTCCCGTCCCTTCAAAATCGTTATACGACAAAGAGTACTGGGAAGACGGGACACCACGAGCGTGGCTCTCATACTGTAACTACACTTAGGTAATTACACACAATATACAAAAATGGTGACACGCACTGAACTACAGGATGGTGTCCCTAACCTGTACACCATGCAAGGTCATGGAGATTAGTGAAACAAATCTAGTAGCTCATCTGGAGAGAGAAGAGAGTGTGAAACACGCGACCAGCACGGGTTCAGGGAGGGTAAAGTATGCCTCACAGGTTTAATCGAATTCAATGATCAGGTGACAAAAATTAAGCAAGACAGAGAAGGGTGGGAAGACTGCATTTTCTTGAACTGTCAGAAGGTCTTTGATTCAGTACCCCATAAAGGCTGGTGAATAAGTTGGAGAAACAAACAAGCAGTAGTAACAGGTAAGGTGCTCCAGTAGATAAGAGTATTTAAGCAACAGAAAACAGAGTTACTGTGAGGAATGAGACCTCAGAATGGCGAGATGTCATCCAGTGGAGTCCTACAGGGCTCTATACTGGGACCCATTCTGTTTATGTAACACGTAAACGATCTTCCAGAGGGTATAGACTCATTCTTCCCAATGTTTGCTGAATATGCTAAAATTATGAGGTTTAAGACAGAGGAAGACACCAAGAGATTACATGATGACCTGGATAGACTGAAGAAATGGTCTAATAAATGGCCACTAGAGTTTAACTCAAGCAGGTGCAAAGTAATAAAGGTAGGTGTAGGGAGCATGAGGCTAGATACAAGATAACAATTAAATGAAATCCTTCATAAATCATCAAGATCTGGGGAAGTGATATCACACAGGACCTGTCAGAGAACCCTGAAGCCCACATGAAAAAGATATCATCAGAACAAATTTACAAGGGCCGTGATTAGGGTTCGAACCTACGTCCGAGATAATCCCAGACGCGCCTTAGTCGATTGCGCCACGACATGGTAATAGAAATGCAACCGGGAGTGCTACTGACCTCTCACGGATCCTGCAGCCTCTCCGAGACACAAACCAGGGTTTTACACAATTGAAAAAAGTCTTGTACCATGTCGTGGCACAATCGACTATGGCGTTTCTGGGATTATCTCGGACGTAGGTTCGAACCTTCATCACGGCCATCGTGGATTTGTCCATTTGATGTATCACGCTATTGTGATTTCTGTGTGTATATCATCAACACAATATCCTAGGTTGGCCATCATAAGAACTGCCTTCAGAAACTTATGCATGAAAGTTTTCAGGATCTTGTATACCACATATGTCAGACCAATCCTGGAGTATGCAGTTCCAAACACAAGACAAAGGTAAGGTAAATTATCATCAGAAAGCACTTAGCCATTGCGACAATATAACCCTTGGAAGGGATATGAGGATAAGGATTTAGGATAGAACTTAGGAGAGGAATGGTTCAGAGGTATGCTATCAGGTTAGTACCCGAGCTGAAGGGTATAAGCTACGAAGAACAACTACTGGAATTAAAATTCGCGACAATAGAAGACAGAGAGAGAGTAGTTAGAGGAGACCATCTAGCATGGCTGGTGCACCAACATGGTAAACTGAGTACCCACATGAACCACACAGACGTTAGAGAAGACCTTTTTTCAGTGTCAGAGTAGTTAACAGATGGAATGCATTAGGCAGTGATGTGGTGGAGGCTGACTCCATACACAGTTTCAAGTGTAGATATGATAAGAGCCCAATAGGCTCAGGAATCTGTACACCAGTTGATTTACGGTTGAGAGGCGGGACCAAAGAGCCAGAGCTCAACCACCCCGCAAGCACAACTAGGTGAGTACACCGTGTCTCGCCCAACAAAAACTCGCCAAATATTCGCTCGGCCTCAACAACAAACAGCAACCCATAAAAAAAAGAAATGTGGGTTGCGGGGTAAAATACGCGCGGCGCTGCTGCCAGTATTTACCGCCCGTCACAACTACCCCGAGTGCCTCCGTCGCATTTGCATGTCCTTATTGTCCGGATCTCGGGTGCCATATTAGCAGATAAATGTGGCAGTTGCCAGCGCGTCACAAATGTCATCTCCAGGGCGAAGGAACTTTTGATGATGGCGGGAGTTTTTGGGGACGATTGTGGAGGGTCAGGATTTATGGCGGGGTCGCAAATCAGGTTTTGACATGGGCGAAGACCCAGGTCAGAGGCAGGGAGGGGGCGATGGTGGGAAGGAGAGAGAGAGAGAGAGAGAGAGAGAGAGAGAGAGAGAGAGAGAGAGAGAGAGAGAGGGAGAGAGAGAGAGAGAGAGAGAGAGAGAGAGAGAGAGAGAGAGAGAGAGAGAGAGAGAGAGAGAGAGAGAGAGAGAGAGAGAGAGAGAGAGAGAGAGAGAGAGAGAGAGAGAGAGAGAGAGAGAGAGAGAGAGAGAGAGAGAGAGAGAGAGAGAGAGAGAGAGAGAGAGAGAGAGAGAGAGAGAGAGAGAGAGAGAGAGAGAGAGAGAGAGAGAGAGAGAGAGAGAGAGAGAGAGAGAGAGAGAGAGAGAGAGGGGGGGGGGCACTGAAGTTAGAGGTGGAGATGAAGTAGTAGTGAACAGTGTTGGGTGCTGAGTGTAGTGAAGCAACTCTGGATAAGAAGGGGAAGGGAGGGGTGAGGAAGAGAATGTACTCAGTTGTGCTTGCGGGGGTTGAGCTCTGGCTCTTTGGTCCCGCCTCTCAACTGTCAATCAACTGGTGTACAGGTTCCTGAGC